ATGGTGTTTGTCCATATCGTCTTGACTCGGTGCCAATTCTTGGCCCAAAATGACCTCTTACTGAACAGAAGCATGTTGCCTGTGTTTCGGGATTTGCGAGACATTACAGGCGAAGCAAAGGAAAAGTACCAGCAAGCAGTATCCAAGCAGCTTGCTACATCGCATCCTTCACTAACTGCTTCGACTGGTACGACCTTCCGAAGCAGAACTTTGGAACGAGAAGAAGCAACAACGATGCCAACTGCAGTACGCGTACGCGAAAGCATCCAGAAAAAAGATGCGCCTGCTAAAGAGCTTCTCTCGCTCAACACTTACAGTAATTACTTTGTTCGAAATTAAGAGGATTACGAAAAAGTACCAAACAACTAAGTTGACGAGGCGAGGCGGACAAAGGGCACTCCCTGATACTGTGTAACAGTTGGTTTTTTTTGATAGCGAACCACATGTTTTTCGAAACTGATGTAAAAATAAGGAGGACGATGCGTACCTATGCCAAGCTTTTTGCCTCATTTTCTCACTATAAGCATAGACTGAGCCAGGGCGATCTCCTAAGGGAGGGAGGAGGGAACGATTTTTCACCTCACCTTTTCCCTTCATCACTACACCCCTCCCCGTCCTTCGGGCATCTCCGAACGCAGCCTTCACTGGCCGCACTGCCCCCTCTCCCCCTCACCTCCCCCGCTCCCTCCACCCTCCTCTTTCCTCGAAGGCTTCTGGGGCAGGGAGCGGGGAGAGGAACAGGGGGTATCGAGCAGACTTTTGTATAGTTCTTTTACTATATAACCGTGGGCGAAAGACCCCTCGCCCTCCCCAGACCATTTCCCTCCTTGGGCCCACCAATGACTATAAATAGTAGTCGCTGCTTCTGTTGTGTAAAGACTTACAATTGCAAGTACCACTCATTAATGCGCAGCGTTCTCTTACTACTAGCAGAGCAATGTATGAATAATTTTCTAATTTAATCAGCAACTGTTACCGATAATTTGATCAACTCACTCATTTTCCGATACATCTGCCATCAACTCCATTCTTAGATATATCTCATTTTCAATGCATGCATTCCAGTGGATTCTTCCATTAGTAACTTTCGTGTGTTGTTTTCTTTTAACACTGCGAGTACCATTCGATAATCCGCGTTGTCCAACTTCTCGCGTCATACGATCAGCACAACGTTTCTTTCTGACGCATATCGCCTTACAGACCTCGCTTGCTCCAAACCGTAATCTTAATAATCCACTGGCGATAGGTTGCTATCCACGATGCCTACCACGTAACTTTTCAGCAAGCGTAAGTATCCATATTTCGCTTCGGTACAAAAGAATCGTAGTATAGCGAGAATGAAAAATGTCTCTTTCACACTCCATCTCATTATGTTCGTAAAGCAAAACACATCTG